GGGCACCCGCGGGGCTGGTTGTGCCCCCCACCCCCCAAGCGGAGGGGGAGGTTATTTTGGGGCGAAACGCCCTTGTCCGTGTGCGATGCGCGGGGGCCCGCGGAAGCAGCCGTGCCGCACGCCCGTCACGCGCAAAGCGCACCTCGCGCAGCACCGCTATTTCTCACTTGCACGTGGAAAACGCGCGTGTCAAATTCCAGGGCGAGTTTTCTAAAGTTAGGCTTATTTTGAAATATATAGGTGGGATAGCACACTCTATGAGTTTTACTGATGTGTATTTTTATATCTCGTATGTGCCTGTCTGTAAATGAGTGTATATCCGTAGCTACATCTCTACTTCACTCCATGGAACTGATATGATTTTGAAATACGCATTTTCTCTTCATTTATGTATTGCTAATACAGAAAAAAAATATTGCTTTGTATTTTGTGTTTACAGCTTTGGTCATGATGGAAATTTCCCCATGCCATGGTATGCGTAGAGCCCATGCCCGTGCACTAGAGAAAAATCAGCAAATCCTCGTTTACCTCGAAAACCGCTGCTTACCTAACGGTAAAGCAAAATGCGGTATTAAAGCATAACCAGAGAGGCCCATGGAAGTGGAAAGGCGTAGAACATGTCTAGGATACATAATCCGAAGCCGCAGAAAAATCTTTAATCCATCCTTGGGTAAAAGCCAAAGCCCAATTACAATAAGCTTTAGGGCATCTTTTCCATCGTACTTGTTTGCTCGAACTAACTAATTGCACTGAGTTGCTGAGCGACTTTGGAATAATTTGGAAAGAATCGTTTTTAGCATAGCAACAGTTTTCAGGAGTATGTGTGTTATGTTAGCCCTCATTCGACACTCCCTCCTGGGTGACATAATAATTACTATATCTTCTTGGTAATAAATCTCTGCAAAAACTTCGAAAAATCTTGTCCTTGAGGTGTTTTCAAATTATTAGTAGCCTCGGGGAAAAGAAGGAAACAAAAGCAGGATGTTCTGACGAATTCGTGTGTGTGTCCATATGCTGACACACACGGATACACATA